AATAATCATATAACTTTCCTTTCATGAGACTGACTCCAAATATCCTAAAGATTTGGTAGGGTTGACATTCGTCATTTTCTGCTAGGTCGACAATTGTGCCCATCTACTCTAGGCTGCTCCACACCAATAGCACCCAGTGCTTCTACTCTCACCAAACCCGTCACACTCTCATGTGATGGTCCACTGGCCCATCATACTCAAGGTCCTCGGAAAGGACCAGGCTCTAGCTGCAAGTCCTTCCCAGATCCTTCAGTAGAGCTAGTGATGCAGGGGTAACTGTCTCTCATTCTATGAGTAACATTGGTCTCTAGAGAACACATTTGCCCAGATGGGAGAATGAAATGCATCTACCCAGCGGAAAGGGGTGCCAAACAGAATGGAAGGGCACTTATACCCCATACTGAAGTCACCGCAGCCCTGGATGTCTGCGTCACACAGTCCATACATTGTTTTGTTTATACTAGCTCGAGTTTATTTTCTGAAGCTTGTCATTAAAGGAATGTTTTCTAATCACACAGGTGAAGGCCAAAAAGATGTTTGCTGAAATCCAATGAGTAAATAAAATACATTCAGAATTAAATGAAAGAGTGAAAGAGGCACTCGGGTTATGGGGAATGAAAAAAAAAAAGAAAAAGAAAAAAAGCTCTGTTTTTAAGAGAGTCAGTCAGCCTTCTTGAAATGGCCAATATTACTCCCTTGCTCTGAAAAACAAAAGCAGATTGGTGAAGTATCTGGGCAAAGCCACAGGGAAATGTTAAGAAACAAATTGACTACATTTTCAAGAAACAAACAAGAGGAGAAAGCACTTCTGGAAGGAGGAAGATAATTGCCTTCCTGTACACAGGAAATCTATGTGTATCAAATAGGGCAGACCGATAGCAGGTCACTACTGACAAAGGCACCTAATTTTTTTCTTACCAAGGAGTACTTACATCTAAAAACCTCTCTTGAAGAGAGATACATTACAATGTTTTCTCATAAAAGCAGAATCGTGTGCAACACTTTTGTTATTTTCTTCACAATCATCAATAACTGTCCTGTCAGATATTACATATAGATATATAAATAGCTGTATATAGGTATATGTATGTATGTACACAAACAAGTGTGCATGCCTGCACACATACAAACTTCTGTTTAAAGTAGACTCATGGGAATTAGGAAGTTAGGTCTTACTCCCCATCGCTTTCTGCTAGTTCAGCATAAATATCATTGCTACAGTTTGAACAAAGTGTGTGGCATATCCTCCACAGTGCATGTGTTTAGATAATTTGGTTCCAGTTGGTGGTGCTGTCTGGAAGTGAAGAGTCTGCCATGGGGGTACTATCTGTCAGAAGGAGGACACTAAGGTTGGGCCTTTGATGTTATACTTGCTTCTGGCTTGGGTCTGACTCTGTGACCTGATCGCCAAGAAGGAAGGAGATACCACCACACACTCCTACTACCCCTCCATGATGCACCGTGTCCCCATCACCATGATTTAAACTCTTCTCTCAAGTTATTTGTGTGCAGCACTTTGCCAGAGCAATACAAAAGTAACCAATATCGGTAATGCAATTCAATGCACCTCCGTGGAGAGCTTTTTATGCGACCACATTTTGATAAATACAAGAGAGGACACTAAAGTCCGCTAATCCCTCAACTCAAAAAATTCATATTACAATAAAGAAGGTGAGTGATGTATAACAATAACATCATCTAGAAGAAAAACTGACAGCTGTAATTAACATAAAACATTGGGAGGGGGCTGCTCAGTCATTTAGGTCTGGATAGTGGTTTTAAAACTTGAGTGTGAGAAAAAAAATGAATCATGGGGAAAGCTTGTTACAACCCAGGCATTGGGGCACACTCAAGAGGTTTTCAGAAGCTCGCAGAGACACTGCCATTGCTGATCTGGGGACTGTCCTTTAAAGAACTTATGATTTAGGAGCTGGTCTTCAATTCTGGCTGTACATTAAACTCCTAGGCATCTTTTGAAACGTCTGCTACCCAGGATTCATTCCAAGTCTATAATAAATGAATACAAAGAAGACTAAAGCAGTGTGAGAAGATGAATCATAAGCACAGCTTTCTCAGGAGTTGGGAAGCAGAGAAGGCAGATGCTAATGAAGACGAGGAGTCAAGAGAGGGCAAGTACGAGGCACAGTTAGGAAGGAGAACATGATTGACGCATCTGTGGGGAAAGGAAACGTAGGGCTGGGTCATGTACGAGCTTCATGGCCAAACTAAGGAGCTTGATATTTCCCCTGGAGACAACAGGAAATCATGAAAGACCTTCAAATAGGAGGGTGGCATGGTCTGGAAGCAAAATACTGAGCGGATGCAAACAAGACTGGTGCTTTGAGACAGTGTTAAGTAGGATGCTTCCGCAATGATCTATTTTCTTAAGATGAGTCTATGGATGCATGCTCTAGCCTGCGTGTTCTATAGAAAAGCTTCACTTTGGATAAAGTTAAAAAACAACCTAGGGATATATTTAACCAGCTGGGAAGGCAAAATTCTCCTCTAGCAATCTCAAGACCAAACTTAATCTTCCTAAGCCAATGCTTCTTATTAGGGGAATTAGGAACAAATTGATTATAAATTTAAGGTTAACACTTTTCTTTCCTATGAAAAGAGTTAGTACATTTTGTAGCTCTAAGGAACAGTGATGTAGACAAGGAAACAAAATTGAAATAGGATAAGCCAATTGAAAATGAATCATCAGAATCTCAGATTGGATTTGCTAAGGAAGAGGAAATAAATAATTGAAAAAATTAGGAACATAAAATTTCCTAACAATGATGAATGGCGGATGAAGCAGAGAGCACAGGAGAAGGGAAAGGTGTGTATTACTAGAGGAAGAAAACCACCTGGACCAACAAACACCCCCTGCTGGTCATTTTGGGAATTGATTTAATCTTCAATCTTCAGAGTAGTCACAGTGTATATTTGTGTGCTGTGTGGTGTGTGTGGTGTGTGTGTGGTGTGTGTGTGGCGTGTGCTGTGGTGTGTGTGTATGTGTGTGTGGCAGGAAGGCACAATATCATTTTTGAGTTACAAAACTTAAAGCTAGGACAAATTTTTTTCCTTTAAAAATAAATGCTAAGCAAAATAAGCCAGACTGATAAAGCTAGGCACCATACTGTCTTATTGGATGACACTATAAATCTGTAACTCTCTTGTGTCCTCACTCTCTCCCTCCCAGCATGCACATATGTGAGTGTGTGTGCATGTGTGTAAAATCATGAAATTATAAAGAAGATCGTAAGAGGGGAGGAAGAGATTTCAGGAGAGGGTGGGGATAAGGAAAACACAGCAATGGAATGCTGGAGACATGCCAGTAGAGGAGGGAAGAATTTAGCTGGAAGGAAGGGGATCAGTCAGAGGAGGGCAGAGTGAAGGGGGACATAGAAAAAGGACCCCAGGGAGAGAGAATGAATAAGAATAAAGTATAGTGCCATATGTATACATGAAAATACTATAATGAAATATATTATTTTGTATGTTAATTTTCAAAGTGTTTTAAAAAAATCTAATTTGTCAAGTAATTTTACAAGTGATCTGTCAACCAGTTCATGGCGAGAGAAAGAGAGAGAGAGACAGACAGAGAGGGTTGGGGAGGAAGATCTTCTAACAATTGCGGAAAATAAGTTTCCAAGTTACAGTGCAGTTCCCTTCCGCTGGTTATAAGTCATTTTCCTTGCTATTATATTATCAAGGAAATCTGTGGTTCCACCTTTGGAGTCTTAGTCTTACTAATAAGAGAATTTTTAAATGGCCATAGAAGGAATATTGAGGATCATTTTATTAGAGTCTGAAAGGAAAAACAATAGGACCGGCAAGGTGTAGATCTCAGAAGCTGCACAGAGTAGGGAGATGGTGAAGAGGAATAAAATGTCACTCCATTTTGAGTTTGGGTCCAAGAAAACCCTCATGCTTAGCAAAGCAGCTGCGTAATAGAAAGGGAGGGGACAGGGACACCTTCCAACATAGGTAAACAAAAGCCCTGAGAAAGTTCAGCTTTTTTTTTTTTTCTTTTAAGCTCAGCTTTTTGACTAGGATCTAAAAGGAGGGAGAACAAAATCAGACAGGTTTAGCAGTGTGGCATGGGGCACCAAGGGCTTCTCTGCAGTGTAAGTACATCTTCTCAATGGGGGATAATTATTCCTCCTGTCTCCTCAGCACAGCTTCACCTTCGGTGTTCTAGTCAGGTGACTGTCAGGCCCAGCTGCAGAAGACAGTAGTGCACGATGTTCTAATCTTAGGGCCAATGAGAATGCCAAGTACCCAGGCAGGACTTGAGCTAGAAAGCAGAGTCTATTCTTTGAGTCAGGAAGAAGTAGCTTTCCCTTAGTGAGTCTCAACCAAACCCTGATATCACCACTCTACCATATATTATTGTAAATCCCGAAAAGAGGGTAGCTGACTTTTTCTTTTGTGGTGTTACCAGAGAAATAGGTTAGGTTCAAAGCCAACCATGAGGGAAGAGTCCATCCTCAAAAGCTTCCAACTCTGCTAATATCTATAATAACAACACAGTCATGGTATAGGAAGACATATAATATTAAAAGTCAAGTGTCATTTACTTGGATAAAGATATATTTTTCAAAAACATGCATATTGCTGACATATCTTCATATGGAGCTTCCCGCCCCCATGCAAGGGGCCAGATATTTAGTGGCACATGAAAGGAAGTATTTTTCCAACAATTCAATGACCCTTACTGTAGGTGTCGCCACAACATAAAATAATAAAATTTCCCTTGCTATAATTAAATCACATCCCTTCATTTTCTCTAGAAATTAAAACATCAGCACACAACATTCTAAAACTCTTTTTCTTATTCATTTTCATGGGGCATAGCCATTGGGGTATATGAGACATTAAACATTATAAATACCAAAGGAAATACCAATAATCTAAGCTAATGAAAATGTTACAAATCCTGCTCATGTGGCCAAAACAGACAGCCTAATAGGAAAAGCAAGGCTAAGTCAACAAGAGTGGAGGTTACATACCTGAGCTTCTGATTGTACTGTCTGACCTTTTCCAGGGAGGCAGCGTTTATCTGGGCTTGAAACTGTTCCACGGAAACATTGTCTCTATAGCAATATCCTTCCATGCTCTCCAAGGCTGCAGAAACAAGTTAACCGTTCACACATAGTCTTGGAATTCAGCTTCTGTGCCTTGCCTCTAACCCCGCTGATTTCCAACAGCTACACCAGAGTGTCTAGTATGAACACATATGCAACAGATGCCTCCAAAAATGAACAGAAATGGGCCCTGTGCTCTCAAAATATATATCAAGCAGTTGGTAAAATTTGTTTTCTTGTTAAGTAGGCAAAGGAAATTTCTGGTTTAGACTATCTTCTATTTTTGAAACATTTTGAATGCATTGTAGAAGACTAGAAAATGCTACCCCAAAATTCAAGGATTATTTTCAGTTGATTATTTTGAGAAACTGCAGACACAAGAAGTATTCTGTAAACAAAGTAAAACTTAAGTCTTTTGTAACAGGAATTTGCATCCAAAACAGAAGCCTACATTGTGTACCTGTACTATGGGACAGGGTGGAATTAAGGGGTAAGAGTGGGAGGGGGTGGAAATCTGCATTTGCATGCGCATCCCCTGTTATGCCCATGAAGAGAAAGCGGCGAAATCATAAGAGCTTCTGATCCCTGCACAAGTCACAGGGATAAATTCACATAACAATTTCACCTCGTTTCCTTGTCACCCTTACAATCAGACCTTTCTCCCAATTTGTTTCCATGGACATGCATGCAATAGTCTTTTATTTCCGGGATGAGGGATGCATTCCATGTCAGACCTGCAGCAGATGCTGAAACCAGGGGTTCTACTGGAGACTGTTTGGATTTTCACAGCACACATGCACGCACACACACACACACACACACACACACACACTTGTGTAATGCCCTTTCTATTTTCACTAAGCACTTATGTACTGTGTGTGATCGCAAAAGCACAAGAATTCTTCAAGCTCACAATGATAGTAGAGGAGCTAGTCTTACTCTGCATCTTTCTCAGTCGAGAGTGTTAACCTTTTCCCAGGAAGGTAGCATTCTATGCCTCTCTTTAGCACATCCCAGTTGCCAGCATCATTATTTTTCCATGTTGGGATGATTACTCATTAATCAGGGTAAGCTGAAACTGAACCCTGAGACCCTGTATAGTCAATGACCTGATAGCTACAGTCCACCGAGAGGCTCTTGGGTAGGTGACTCACATAAGCATAGAGATGCCACTTAAAGGCTAATCATTCATGCTCGGGTTAAACAAACATCTTACTTTTCAGAATAGCATACAATTGACACCATGTATCAATTATTTCTAGAATTTTCTACTTAATGTTTTCAGACTATGGTTTCCGGCTGGGACAGAAAAACACAGCAAGTGATCCCACAAAGAAGGGGGTGATGCTTAGGGTGGAAGCTGAAGAAGGACCCCTGCTACTGGGCTGACCCGCTATATTTTCTGACACTTTGGCTCTATTTTGCCTTTGCCTCATATAGCAACTTCCTCTAATGTCATTACTTCTGTAGTTACGTCATATTCTAGGAATGATAGGACTGATCAATAACCATCTTCACAATAAGGGATCAAACTTCCCTGAAGGAACAAGCTTTGAAGGACAGGAGCCCCCATGATGAAGTCACTTCCTCAGCCTTAGTTCCACTTCTGTGGCTGTAACACAAGACCCTGACAAAAAGCAACTTAAAAAAATAAAGGTTATTTAGCTTATAGTTCCAAAGGGGACATAGGCCGTGATGGCAGGGGGGCATGGCAGCAGAAACATGAGGCAGGCACTCAGGAGGCATGAGGTTGGCCTGTCAGTCAAGAGCAGAGTGATCACATTTCAACCACACACAGGAAGCCAAGAGGGAGAACAAACGAACGGGAAGTCCTGCTGGGGTACAAAACTTCAAAGAAACCCTACTCTGGGTGACTCCCAAAGCAATGGTTCTCAACTTTCCTAATGCTGCAGCCTTTGAACATATTTCCTCATGTTTGGTGGCCACCAACCATAAAACTATTTTACTTCTGCTTCATAATGTTAATATTGCTACTGCTGTGCATTGTAATGCAAATATTTTTGGAGGTCCAAGTTTTCCCAAGGGGCTGTGACCCACAGGTTGGAAACCACTATCCTAAAGGGTTCACAACTGCCCCTAACTGGGGACCAGGTGCCCAAACACATGAGTCTATGGGGAACATATTGGGGAACACATGAGTCTATGGGGGCCACAACATGTCCCAGACAATGGCACTTACCCACGCTGAGTTAGCCCCACGTGGGAAGCAGAGTACTCATCTTGATCGATAACTATGATGGCATATCTGGAAGCCCTAGCCTGCTATCCCATACACGTCATCTACACGGGCTTTAGCCATCTCATTTGTTTCTTATCTAGAAAATCTCAAACTTCCTATCAGGTCCTTAACACAGACTCGGGGCCAGTCCTGGGCTTTACGTGTACTTCCATACACGGCTACAGTGACACACGCTCCTATCTCTGCCGTCACCACTGCTTGTCTTCGTTGGGGGCAGTAACATGTGGTTCGTAATTCTTTTTCTTCTTTTCTTTTTCTAGGTAATTTTTGTGAAGGGTTTAAGGTCTGTGTCTTTATTTGCTGTTTTGCATGTTTTTCAAGACAAAAATAAATGGCCATTTTTCCCCAATATCACACTGTCTTGATTATTTTAACTTTATAGTAGATCCCAGCAGTCCACGGTATTCTCAGAGGTGGTGTTTTTACACTGAAACTCGAGTAACAAAGCCATCTCCTTGTTCTCTTTTGGCATCTTCCGCATCCATCTGGGCTATACAGGACTTATTTCATTTGTCTTGGCCTTAATGATCTGCCTTTGCTACTGGGATCTTTTCTGACTAACAATAGTAATGACGAAGGCCTACATTCACATGAGCAAATATGGACTTTCTTATTTTCCAACTGTAAACCTGCAGTTATCTGGGAATCTCCCATATACAAGACAGTAAACACCATTTATAATAAAAATTGTATTAAATTCCATGGGCAGTCTTTCTACCCATGTGTGTTGGAGAGTTGCAAGGGCCAACTTGACACAATCTAGAATCTCCCAGAAAACTGGTTTCAATACAAACTCCCCAAGTTACGGTGGCCTATAGAGATGTCTGTAGTAGCTGTTTTGTTTGTATTCCAAATGTATGAACCACAGCCTGAAAGTGGACAGCATCGTTCCCTGGGTTTGTATTATAAGTTATATAAAAGGAAAGAGAATGAGTGGTGTGGTAGGCTGGTCCTCATTCACTTCTCTCTGCTCTCAACGTTGGATATGGCTAGCTGCTCCTAGTGCCTGCTCTGACTCAACCTCAATAAGGGGCTGGAACCCACAGCTGTAAGCTCCAAGGTCATGCCTTAACTTCCCCAGAATAAACCCTTTCTTTCTTAGAGTTGCTCCTGTCCGCACCTTGATTATAGAAACAGAATTGAATCTAGTACATCAAAGACTCTTGTCCAAGGCACTTCAGGATTCCACTCACCAAAGGATAGAGGAATTGCCTAGAAACACTCGAAGCAGTAAATTCCCGAAATCACCAAAATCTTCTACATGACACTTTGGAAGACACACATGGCCCTCTTAAGAAGGCTTCACAGAAGCTTTACTAAATCCTTCTCCTTCTATTGCTGTCTACACTTAAATCTGTGTTAACCATCTAAATAAACCCATTAGGAATTCTGGCATCACTTGGGTAAAGGTCCCCAAATGTTACCTCGTAGTCGGCTGTAAGTAGTAGCACAGAGATGTATCTTGGACCCATGAACTTCTCCCACAGACACTAGTGAAATGCTGGTGAGTTTCCTTGACTGCTGGTGAACCACTCTACTCTCTGCTCCTAGCTTGTACGTTACCTTAGCTTTTGTGCTTCTTGGAGAAAGTCAAAAGCCCCCATGATGTTTAATGACTAGAACTAGGTCTGTAGACAGGTTTTCCTCTAGAATTATCAAAATCCATTCCGAGCCAGATGGAATAATCGTGGCTACCTGCTGTTTACCACAATATCCAAAGCCATTCTCTTGTCATCAAAAGATTGGTCAGAAACCCTATGGAGGAGAAGTGACTTAAGGGTAACACCAAGAAAAGTAAGCCTTGCTAAGGGGAATATTATAAAGCCTAAATGTATTGAGAATGGCTGTTTCCATGCACACCATTCTCTGGATCCCTCCTGAAACTATGACTCCCATACCATATTTCTTATTTTAACTTCTTTCTATAAAGCTAGCAGCCTCAGGTACAGCATCTCCGCAGACCTCCTCCTCTATTGCTAGGTTGATGTTCAACCTCACCTTGTCTCCTTGTGAAAGCATGATTACCTGCTTTCAGCTCTACATTCTCTCAGTATACATAGTATTTTTTTTAATCAAAAGTGCTTTCAAAACTTACTAAGGCAGTGATTCTCGATCTATGGGTTGCCACTCCAACATGAGTAGCATATCATTTATCCTGCATACCAGATATTTACACTGTGATTCATAAGCGTAACAAAGTTATAGTGATAAAGTAGCAGTGAAATACAGCACAGGGAACTGTATTAAAGGGTCGCAGCATTGGGAAGGTGAAAACGACTGCTCTAAGATAAAGACAAATTTAAACTACACAGGTCCACATGTACTAATCATGCCTTTGTAATGTGCTAGAGAAGCATAAGAAGACAATGATGTAGAGATGGTTTCCAGGGATACACAGAGGGAAATTAGCCACACAAGCTCTGGGGCTGCTTAACTAATGGCAATACTGCAAAAGCTGGTGACGTGGCCCAGGTAGGGAACTCAGTGAGCATTTTAGGTTATTATCTTTTTCTTTCCATCCTTTTTTTCCCAGACACACAAGAGAAAATGCAGACTATAGTTTAGGCTCATTATAAGTTTTTTTTTTAAGTGAAGGAATTTGGCCTAAGAAAAGGCATCACAGGGAATATTCCCATCTCCAGGGTATCAGCCTCTGCTGTCCAGCTCTGAAATGGGAAAAACTGCTGCAGTCTGCTGAACGATTTCACTCCTTGACCATTTTGCTCTTAGTGGGTGTTCACGTGAGGCTCATAATAAATTAGGTTAGGTTCTTTGCCTCT